TGTATTTATATATACATATAAATATATACAGTACACACACATATATTATGTAATCACAAACTTTTATTTTGGTTGCGATTAATCGCGATTAATCGATTTGACAGCCCTAGTTTTTACCAAACTGGTTAGTATTTTAATTCAGAAACCATCCATTTCTTCGTTGAAGGCTTATCCAACTTTTTCTCCGAAAAGTTTGAAATGTCATTACCATCACATAATATAGAAAATAAACACCAAAACAAATCCCAAAATCCACTTAAATGCATGATCACTCAGGGACACGATCAGATCTTTATTCTGGAACATGTGATAAATGTTTTAATGTAGACATAGTTTGAAGATGTAGTCAGAAGAATCCTTCATTAACCTTTCTTTGTGAATCTTTTGCACTCTGGATGTTTCACTCGCGCATTTCTCTGTGTGTTTGTTCAGCATTGTGCATGATATATAGATTTGATTTAACAAATATTAAAAACAGTTGCTCTGTGTTTGCATGTCTTCTTTCATCTCCTATTCTTAGTCCATTTTTACCGCAAACAGCCAAGACGTGACTTTTATGACCACTTAGACTCCATTTTTTTAAGTCAGTTTTTTGTTTATTCAGACTGCACATCTAAAAAGGGTGCCACGTTTTGGACCACTCCAAGGATATTGTTTGATTAATTAAAAAAAAAAGAGAGAGAAAGATAAGAAATCAGTCAAAAATGTCCAAAAAGGCTTAGTTTAGGGTTTGATTGTCTCTTAATAGTACTTCGAGGTGTTGTGAGTGTTCTGATTTGTGATCTTGTTTTTGTTTTGTATAGTTTGAGAGTGCTTTCTCCCACAAACCCTCCATCTATAACATGTTCTGGCAGAGTCATTCATCAGCTCAAGAGGTGTTACAGGTAAGGATAATACTACATGCTTATCTAAACACCAATTTAGCCTTGTTGGTGTTGAACAAGCCTTGTTAGGGTTCTAATTTCAGTGCTTGTGTGTGCAGAGGATGATGGCCGGGGAGACTATGGAAGGGTCATTTCAGGTCATTAAGTTGCTGAGTCGGAGACCCACTCAGTGGAATCACTGTCTAGCTCTCGCTCGACTCAAATTCGACAAGTACTTCAAAAAAAAGGTACTGGAACCGTTATGCATATATCTTTAATAATGGAGATCGTCTTGTAGTAATGACTATTATCATTTTAGGCTTTTGAATTTATTTATAGAATAGTAATAATGCTTTATTATATACTAATACATTCCCTATTAAGAATAAAGTGTTTTTATTTTTGGATATGTTTACAGTGTGCCTTTTTATTTTAATACTTCAGGCATTACAACTGCTACATTCATTTCCACTGGACACACGGCTAAAAGACGGCAGTAAGTTGCATGCTTCACGCATTCATGCAGAGATGCTGTATTAAACACCAACAGAGTCTCGTCTTTGCCCAGCTCAAATGCTTTTCCTATGTTTTCAGGTCTGTTCTGGCAGTCTCCCAAACGGCCGCCTTCTCCTATAGAGTTCGACCTCGATGACCCACTGTGAGTATCGGAGTAAATATTCTGTTTATAGAAACAGAAGTAGGAATTTTTTAAAGAGGTAAAACAGAATTATTAATTTTTTTTTTTTCCTCCATCAGGCATTTCAGTTTTGTTGTCAGCACAGCTCGCCTTTTTGCTGGAATTTATAATATTCCTCATTCAGAAGAGGTAAGAGGAATGTATAATGTTTGTCTTTTTTTACTTGTGTGCTACTTGAATAAAATTCTCAAGTTATTTTTTTTATTTTTTTATGTTTTGTTGCCGCTGAATAATTCATAGCAACTTTCCTATGAGGCTGTTTCAAGTGTTTTAGCTGAAGTGGAGGTTCCTGAATACAAACCAGCTGAAAAGGTATCTGTTCTTTCACTAGTTATCTACTGTATTTAGTACTCAACAAACAATGAAAATGTGTCTGATTTAACTCTATTAAATGAAGGTGACATAGTTGTTTAAAGGAGAAATAAGTAACTGTACTATGTTGTTTTTTCATCATGCCAAATTTTTTTTATAACTATATATAAAGCAGGGGCTTCCAAACAGGGTTTGTGAGTTGATGAAAAGATAATAGTTAATTAAATCATAAAAATGTCAAATAATTTTGAAATAAAAAACAATAAAAATAAAACTGTAATATGGGATAATACTGAAATATTTATTTAAGATATAAGGGGGTACTTTAAGTAATTATTTTCGGTTTAGGTGACCAAAAAAAATTAGGAATCCCTGCAAATAGAATTGCAATATTATTTTATTGTGACCAGACATTTTTTTTTTTTCAAATCTTACCACTAGGATTCCTGTCCTTAAAGGGATAGTTCACCCAAAAATGAAATTTTGATGTTTATCTGCTTACCGCCAGGGCATCCAAGATGTAGGTGACTTTGTTTCTTCAGTAGAACACAAATGAAGATTTTTAACTCAAATCTTCACCTCAATATCTGAACTGTCCTGAACGCGTTCTTAACAGCCGGTGCGTGACGCGTCTTCTTCTTCTTCTTGCCTTACAGCAGATCGCAGACTTATAAGTGCATTACTGCCACCTATCTCTCAAATGGACCATTGACACTCTATCTACAATCTCA